AACTCGTCACATCAATGAAGGTAACTTGTGTCTATGCATTTTTTTTAAATACTGTCAAACAGTACTGAAAGTCACAAAGTCATTGCCAGGCCTGTACTGAATTTGTCTGTGGAAAGCTCAGCAGATTTCCACAAAGTGACAGTACTCGTATTTTGACCATTTTTAAAAAATGTTTTCAGCTATCAATAAAAGCAGTAGTCTTTTCACCTCAGTGTGAAATCAACATCAAAACAATTTACCTTATTTACTTCCATTTTTAGAATTTTGGTTCCATTTAATTATTTTGTGTAAAATCACGAAATACCTGCAATTATGTAACTATATCTATATTTCATGATTGTATACTGAGTGTATTTTCTGACTTGGTTGAGAAGGCCTGTAAACTTGCTCAGTTGCATGTATAATTATGCCACATATAAGTAAATTTCTCCCTGATTAGGTGATGCTGTCACATTCCAAAACAGCCTTGTTGGAAGCATATTATACCTCACTTGAAGACAGCAGGTAATAACTTTTAGAGACTCAGCTCTGTGAACTATATTTGCATATATGCTAACATCTTGCACTGACCATCTTTGTTAAACATGAAACATGAACCCGTTCTTTCATAAGAGGAGATAATGTGTTGTGTATACATTAGTAACACAGAGGAAGCTCTATGAGCCCCACATATGTGGTGAGAATGAGATTAGTCAGCACTTTCATATATGCATTTGAACGTTTAGTTAGAGTTCTGGTATTACTATTTATATTGAATGTTTCCTCATTTGTGTTGGTTTAGGTTCAACAGCATTCTGGATCAGATTAAATCACTGATTAATGATGACACCAGTTACATGAAAGGTGGTTTGTCCATGCTCGCACAGAAGTGCTATGCTGTGCGGCCCAACGTCAGCGAATTCTTAGATATTGCATGACGAGCCTACACAGAAGTGACCAGACAGAAGAACAACTATGGGTTCACCATGTAGACCTCATGAAAATGAATGATCACTGTGAGGAGGCTTTGAAAGACATTTTCCACATGTCTTAAGTGTGAGTGTACAGCAGACCAGATAAAGTTTAACTTTGAGTGAAAAAATGCAGCATTTAACCATAGATGGTATTTATGTACACTGCAGGGTGGTGTCCAGGTTATTGAGTGAGCTCTATGAACACATCCACTGCCTGTACAAACTGTCTGATGCTGTGTTAATGCTGGACATGTTGCTCTCTTTGGCTCACGCTTGCACTGTCTCAGATTACGGTAATGTTTAAGCACAAGATAAGCATAATGTACATTTTTACGTTTATGTAAGCACATGAATTTTTCCTCCTTTACCTGTTGATAGCATTGATTTCCTTTTTATTGATGAGCTGGGTCGAGGCACCAGTCCAGAGGAAGGCATTGGTATCTGCCACAGTGTCTGTGAATTCCTCATCAATCTTAAAGGGGTCATATCATATCTCTTTGGAGTGTTACAAGCTCTTAGTGCATAAAGAAGATCTGTAAAGTTGCAAAGACTAAAGTCTCAAATCCAAAGAGATATTCTTTATAAAAGTTAAGCGTCAACCACACCTACCTAAAACGCCTCTTTTAAACACGCCCCCACATATCTAC